GTCCTGAACAGGCCAAAGTCCACCCTCCGGAAGTCCACGGTTGCGGTTTTGCTGCCTCCCCTCCTTCCTTCACCAGGAATCGAGAGTTCTACCATTTCATGGTCGCTAAGCCCAAGACGGCCTCTGACCACCACATCTCCCACCAGTCCTTCTCTGTTTGTAAACAGGAGGTCGAGCGAGGCACCTCCCCTGGTAGGCTCACTTACCAGCTGTGTCAGGAAGTTGTCTTCCACACACTCCAGGAACCTCCTAGACTGCTTCCTCTCTGCCGTGTTGTATTTCCAGCAGATGTCCGGGAAGTTGAAGTCCCCCACGAGAACAAGGGCTAGCGATTGAGAGACTTCTGCCAGCTGCTTGTAGAATGCTTCATCCACCCCTTCATCCTGGTTGGGTGGTCTATAACAGACTCCCAGCAGGATATCTGCCTCATTGGCCTTCCCCCTCATCCTTACCCATAAACACTCAATAAGATCAAATAAAGCTGATTTCTTATCTTAAGAATTTAAATAATGGCTTCTGTCTTAAATTATAGGAAACAGAGGTCTTGCTTTTAATTGCTGGGAGCCTCACTCTGAAAAGATACAGTTCCTGACAGGAATCTACCAACGCCCCCTCATCCTTACCCATAAACACTCAATAAGATCAAATAAAGCTGATTTCTTATCTTAAGAATTTAAATAATGGCTTCTGTCTTAAATTATAGGAAACAGAGGTCTTGCTTTTAATTGCTGGGAGCCTCACTCTGAAAAGATACAGTTCCTGACAGGAATCTACCAACGGCTCAGTCTGGGTTTGATTCAAGTATCATGTTATTTATATAATAAACCATAGAGAATGTTGATCTACTTCTAAGGCACCTTTCCAAGTCACGGTGGCAACTGTCTTGGCCAGGTTATACACATTACTCCTTTTAGTATCAGCAGGGCTCCCATCCTTTCCTATTACTCTTTGGCCATCCTTTCTTGTCTTAAGCAATCACATTGGCCCATCTTAATACTTTCTGTTGCTCTTCTCTCTGATCACGTTTTCCCACAGCTTTTACTGTTCGTTCTTTCTCCCAAAGCAGGCTGCAGAAATAGCACACTTACATCCATTTCTTCCCTGTTATCCAATAATTTTATAAGCCTTTCCACTGCAGTGGTCATATTTTGTGCTGCAGAAGTGTGGCTGGAGTATGGCAGCAGCCTTGTTTGTATATTCTGTCTGACAGCGTGGTGCCCTGGAGTGACATCGATGCTGCCTATCTCCAAGTCTTCAGTACCAGTCTTGCTTAAAACTTTGTTAAAAATTGTTTTGAACAATATGTATCACATACATAGCAATTCTTATGTCTATATTTAACAAGCAGAAAAAAATGGCCAAGGCTCTGCTGTCCAGCCTTGATAATATGCAAGACAGTAAAATACATTTTGAAAAAAAAAAAAAAGACCTAGACATGGGAAATAATGCAATTCAAGTTGAATTGTAGCAGTTTACCAAAGGGAAAACTGAGACAGATATCAAAATAAATATCAGACAGTTCTATTGATTTTCTAGACACAAGATTTAAAGGGAAAGAAATAGGGCTATAGGAAAGCTGTTAGTGAAAATTCTGAAGTTCAGCCTTGGGCGAGATATTATTTACATTGATTACCTTGTCACAAAAAGTAGTCTGGAGGAATTTACTGATGACATAAAGGAGGGAGGCCCTATAAAACAGAATGTGGTTAGTATTTCCTACAGGTAGAACTGGAGGATTTTACTGTAGTAATAAAACCAGGGTGAAGTATCTGAATAGGACAGAAGGTCAATTACACAGGAACTAATAAAAGTTTCTGTTACACACTGAAAATTCTTCTTGTAGAAATAGCAGAAGAAGAGAAAATCTGGATAAACTTCCTAAGAAAATAAGAATAGCTATGGCAGGCCAGACCAAAGGTCTGCCTAGCCCACTATCCCCTCACTGACAGTGACAATAAACACTTGTCGTGGTTTAACCTCAGCCTGCAACCGAACACCATACGCTTGCTCACTCTCCCCCCCTGGTGGGATGGGGGAGAGAATTGGAAGGGTAAAAGAGAAAACTCGTGGGTTGAGATAGAAACAGTTTAATAATTGAAATAAAATAAAATAAAATAAAATAACAATAATAACAACAACAACAAAAGAATATACAAAGCAAGTGATGCATGATGCAATTGCTCACCACCTGCCGACCAATGACCAGCCAGTCCCCAAGCAGCAGTCACACACACACACACCCTCCCCCGGCGAACTCCCTCCAGCTTTATATACTGAGTGGCCAGTTTGGGTCAGCTGTCCTGGCTGTGCCCCCTCCCAGCTTCCTGTGCACCTCCAGCCTTCTCAGTCGGCAGAGCATGGGAAGCTGACAAGTCCTTGACTGGTGTAAGCACTACCTAGCAACAACTAAAACATCGGTGTGTTATCAACATTGTTCTCATCCTAAATCCAAACCGCAGCACTGTACCAGCTACTAGGAAGGAAATTAACTCTATCGCAGCCGAAACCAGGACACCACCTATGGCAGACTATAGGAATGGGGCAATCATGCAGCAATACTTGCTCTAGGTACCTGTGTTAGTTGAAATATCTGTTCTGCAGGTAACAAAGCATTAGCTTCTCTGAATTTGACACTAGTAAAACCTCATGTTGTACTGGAATCCACTGTATGGTTGATATGAGCCATGTTTGAGAAAGATTAGTTGAATATAGAAAAAGGGTGGGGGAAAGCTATCACATAGAGACTAAAACTATCACACAGAGACTAAAAAGTATATTTTCTATATCCTGTCAAAATGACAATTAACAAGGAATACCATTGCTATCTATAAAAATATCAGGAGAACAAATATTAGAGCAAAAATTAGAGCAGTGATGTTCTGGAGGAGTCTTCTGAATAGTGGCAGTTGCAGAAAGAA